CGGCTTCCGGTTAACGTTAAAGATAACGAGTGTTCTGCTCTTTCAAACCTTTATCGTGCCTTCCTGAGAGTGGCAACTAAATGTATCCCCTCGTTTGCTCTCCTATCATGAACTCAGTTAGCAATACTCAGCTTTTATGGTCTAGTAAGTTATGTTTTATGACATTTTGGAGGACGTCTTCCCCATCCTTGTAGTCTTGCATAAGGAAGCGAATTGCGCTGTCGTCATAAAAGACCCACTTCTCCTAGTCGTCTTTGAACTGGACTAAATAGACCCCCAATTCTAATGAAAAGCTTGGAAAGATTTCTATTGATAGGGGGTGTCATTGTTGAAGATGTCTTCCTAGCCATCTATTTTCTTTCCTCTAAGAAGGGGCTGTGCCGTTAAGGAAATGTGAGAAGGTTCGAATTACCACTTGAGTTTCGCTTCAGCAATTTAGCCGAGGTAGGATCCCATTCCCAGATCTGAGACTGTGATTGAACCCTCTGAAATTAATGTTTCGTGGATTGCTGGGTTCTTTAGAAGCTCATCTAAGATTGGATGGAGTTTGATTGTAGAGACTGTATTCGCGATCAGAGAAAGGGGTTTGGTCTCAATTACAAGAAAGCATATTTTAATACTCTACGCTGTAATGGAATTTTATTATATGTAACTTATTATTTTCTGATATGTGTCTGTTGATACGTACGTTTAATATGAATTTTTTCTAGCATACTATTTACTTTCTTCTTTAAAATTTCTTTATTTGATTTATAAGCTCACAAACACACAATAACTTTATAAGGTATGAAGGCTTAATTAAGGCATTATGATTAATTGTACGATCGTTTTTAATGGATGTTGATCAAACCTTATGGACTTATGAACTGTAGACTTAATTAAATTCGTTTTTAATGCAAAATTGCGTTTTATTTTTAGTTCCTTAGTCCTCTTTCACGTAAATGTGTTTTAAAATTTATATTTTTGAATTACATATTTTAATTTGAATAATGTAATTAGTTTGGTTATTTTTATTATTTAAATTAAAATAAATCTAACTAATGATAGATATAGGACAATACCTGTTAAACTGTTAACTTTGGTTCCCATTCGTCATCATCTGAACTGATGTATGGATGATCGTAATACACTCATGTCCAAAATTATGTTTACATGCATAAATTCACGGATTTCTCAGAGACTATGACTTATAATTTAATGAATTTTCGTGGATCATACATAACATGATGACACATGAATACAAAAGAAAAAATTGAAGATCACCATATGATAGAAAATTGTAGCATGAAACAATAAAATGGTATAAAGTGTGACAAAGAGAGTTAAGAAAAAAAGGAATGATTCAGAAAAAGAATTAAGTCTTACGAATTAAATATGGAATATGATCTCCCCTGACTTGCACACACATATCACAACGTGTTTTAAGGCTGGAAATAACGTTGTTAACCACAGTTTGGGGAATTAATCTCCACTCTTCCAGCAATGCAGTCTTCAGAGCATTTACATCTCTAGGAGGAGGATGTATACGTGCAATTGCTCTTCCAAGGTAGTCCCATAAGTTCTCTATCGGGTTAAGGTCAGGAGAGTTTGGTGGCCAAGGTATTCGCTTAATGTCTTCACTTTCAAGGAATTCATCAACGAGGTTTGCTCGATGTGGACGGGCATTATCATCCATAAATAAAAAGTCAGGTCCATATGCATCCCTGAAAAGTCTTACATAAGGATCTAAGACCTCATCTCGATATATCTGGCCTGTCACAGATCCGCTGCTGAACACGTGTAAGGGCGTACGTCCATCGATCATTATTCCACTCCGTACCATCACACCTCCACTACCGAAACGGTCACGTTCCGCAATGTTCTAGGGATCATTTCGTGTTCCTGACTCCCTCCAGATGTAAACACGTTTAGAATCACCAGTTAAACTAAACCGCGACTCATCAGCAAAGAGAACATGGGACCATTGATGTTCAGTTCAGTTTTGATGTTCTTTACACCAATTAAAGCGATTCCTCTTTTTCTGTGAAGACAGTAAAACACATACCCTTGGCTTTCTGGCATAAAGGCCTTTTTCATTAAGCCTTCTGTATATTGTTTGCCGTGATGCAACAATTCCAGTGGCGGCTGTAAGCTGTGAACTTAACTGGCGAGCAGTAGCCTTTCTGTTACGAAGGGCAGTTAATGCCAGATACCGATCTTCAGAAGCAGTTGTTATTCGTTTCCGACCTTGTCCAGGCCTCCTTACAACACTTCCATCATTTTGAAACTGTTTCAATAGCTTAGAGACCGTCTGTCTTGAAATATTCAGACATGTGGCTGTTTCCATGATTGACTGCCCTGCTTCTAAACGGCCGATAATTCGCCACTTTACAGATTCTTCCAAATGACACTTCGAAGCCATAACAAACCGCTTTGAGTCCCTACACACTGAAATCAAACGCTATGTTGTAGAAATTCACTCAGATATTCAGTTTGCGCAAAGCTCTTGATTCACCCTTGGATGACGTAACGCCTAGATTTGCATATCACAAACCGTTTGATTACTTTTGATTGGATAATGCTAATTAGGCTTGGTTTTTCACACATTCCCTGCAAATACGGATCACATTGGTTCGATATTTCATTGAATATCATCATTTATGGGTATGAAAAGATAATTTTGGACATGAGTGTATATGTAAAGCATGGGAGCACTCTGAGTATGAGGCGAGCCAAAAGTCCTCTCGAGAAGTTGGTTGCAGGGTATAAAGGGTGGAAGACCCTCGGAGCCTCTATCAAAATTGTAGGCGGAACTGAGAAAAGTCGTATTGTCACCTGTATGGTGCCCAAAACTCTTGTCAACGACAGGCGCAGTCTTGCACCTTGCCACGATGAATTTCGTGGGGTTGTTTTGATGTTACTGCGAATACTGCCAGACAAGTGAGATAAGTAACAATAACAACAAATTTTCAATCAGAATCTACGTTTTTGCTGTTTATTATAAATATTTTGTCTTTTATTTAAAATATTATTCAGTACTTCATATTTTTTTAACTGTTTATGATTAATATTACAGAAGTCTTTTCGAGAACATTTATTGATATTGTATATGCTTCGTTTGTTTGCTTGAAGTTAAAAATCTAAAATGCTTCTCTGAGAAAAAAGTAGTTTCCCCCCTCCCTCAGAAGCCTAACTCAAAATATCGGATTATTCAAGAATACACAAGAACAGAAATATTACCCTTTGAAACATTTTTTTTCTTTTTGAGCACGAGATGATACAAAAATGATCAGGTTTTCTGGCGTTCACTGCTCTACCATTTCATGTAATATTATAGAATCAGGAATATAAAATTACATAGAAATATTTTCTCAAAAAATATCAAAATGTTATGTATTTTAAAAATGGCAAGAAACTCAATCTAACGACTCTCTTTCTATGACCATGATTTGTGTCTTTGTTTGGAAGAAATTTACTTAATTTTTGCACAGAGTTAATGTTCTAATGGGGTAAACAAAAAGAATAACGAGAGATAACGCTGGGTATAAAATTGAAGAACTTTCTTTTTTACTGAAGTTTAGTAATAGCAGTAATTCAAAAGGATCTTGATATTTATAGAAAGTAAGTGATTTTAAAACAGCGTAAGCATTTTAATTTCATTAAACGATGTATACCTATGTATCATAAATCTAAAGAAAAGACTTTTCCTTAGAAATAAAGACCTGCTGTACATCTGAAACCGTCGCAATTTTTATGTTAAACATGGTTTATAATACCAAAATCGCGAATATTTTAGGAGCCACATTGTTAAGATGTAACTTCTTTGAAAGTTTATGCACAAATGTAAAATCCTCTCTGAAATTTGTGTTAATTTGATTGTATTTTGTACCAAGAATTTCATAATATAAATAGAAAGATGTAATGTAATACACGAGTGTGCTGCAACCCTCTTGGCCAATAGTAATCGGCCTTATGGTTAATGCAACACACCAACAGATTAAAATTAAAATAAAAATACTGTTAAAAACATCAAATCAAAATTCCCAGTATTGTTTTATTGCCATTTATTAAGTAATCTTTGAAAATCTAAACTCTTTCCTGCGGCAATAGAATTCCTTTATTTTGCTATGTTCTTCCCTAACATGTCGGAATTAGACACGAAATGTTGTGCACTGCCTTCAGCACTACAAAAATTATAGACTATTATTTTGCAAAATAAATCTTCTCAAGGATGACCGGAAGCGCTCGTATCCAATAATTATTTGATTGTAAACAAAATCACACATCATTCTCATATTTTAAGAAACTGCAAAGTTCAACAAATCTTTCCCTTTTCTCGAAATGTTCCATTCTTTCTAGCAATCGTAATTGAAATCGTAATTGCAGACATTTACTCATGTTCGTTTTTGGTAACGATAAATGACGTGAAACTGGACATCAACCCATTAAAATCTTAAAATGTTTCTTCAAATTATTGTCATAAGTAAGCTAATTAATTTACGGGAAATACATCTGCGGGCAGCATAAATATGATTCGGCGGCGCCGGCCTGCGGTCTGCTGCCATACACATCTAACTGCTGTACTCTGTCTATTATAAATACTTCTCACTAATTGATTGCTTCCTTAAAAGTGTTAAAATTTTAACGGCGAGCAACGTACATTGCTAATCATTGATTATTTATACTGTAATATAAAAACTAATATAATTCGCAAGCTAGAATTTACAATTGCAGTTAAAATCTGGTAATAGTTCTTATTATTTTAAATAAAGTTAATGAGCAAATCTGTCGAATTTGAATAAAATCGAAAATTTTTGAATTGTGTGCTTTTATTAGATAATTAATATGTATAAGGGAAAAGATTTAAAGATAAAAGTACAACATACCTTTACCAGATTAATTAAATTTGCTTAATTAAGCGTCAAGTATTAAACATTATTCTTCTTTCAATATAATAACACACTAATTGGTCTAAAAATAATAATTATATCGTATTTCTGATGATTGTTTTTTACATACAGAGTCACCAAGATTCGAAACAAAATTCAGGACTCAAATGGTAAAGAAAGGTGATGACGTAACATTGACCTGCACAGTCTCTGGCGATCCTCCTTTATCTATAACTTGGACAAGAGATAAACAGCCATTGAACCTGGAGACAGAACCGAGGTAAGCTTCAATTAATCTCTTAATTTGTTGTTTGCTGCAACGTCGTCTGCCTTAGATCAAAAACCTAGAAACAAATTTCCATTTCACAAACCATTGCAAGAGCATCCGACATATATGGTTTAAATGTTTAAAGGATTAATAATTTACAAAATAATAATGATTGGGGTATGTGTTTTGTAATATGAGCTGAAAGCATATTTTCTTTTGTTGAGCGTGTGAAAACAGTCACTTTATTCTGTTTTCAAGGTGGTATAATAAGTGAATCGGCTAGCCGTTTTTGTGGTTTTGCCCACGTTTACCATTCATGAGATTTCATCGAAAACCATAAAATAAAAAAACTCGTTCGAATTTGGAAAACATCGCTTCAAGGTGCACTGGCTCATGGCTAGATTCACCTATATACCAAATTTTGTAGCTCTGGGCCTAGTAACTTACAAACGAAAGACACACAGACAGACTCTTTCTTTTACTATATGTAGAGATTAAAAGTAATCGTTCCACCTTTCATTTTTTATCGTATTTGTAAGGATATGCAGATCGATTCTTTCACTTAGAAAATTGTTCTTCAGTAGATTCTCGTGCCATTAGCATTCTATGCTGAAAATTAGGATCTATTGATCAATTCTTTTCACGTCAATCTGTGTATCAGTTTTTATCACTTAAACCGTTAACATCAGACACTCTATTCTAAGCTGATGTCTTTTTTTATATCATTTTTTAGTTACCTACAAATTTAAATGTTGTTCTACGCAATTTGTATACGATCCCTGATGTTTCATTAAAACCAATCTGAAACCTTCAAAGCCCACCAGCGGCTGAGCGGTAAAATCGCTGAACACTGGTAGTTCGGTTCGAGGTTCGAAAACCGCGAACGGGCTGGCTGCATGGACGTTTTCGTGGTTTTCTCCATGTGTAACGTGTATACGAGCCGGTTTGTCTTAGAAAGTCCTCCACGAAGGCATCCCTTCCCTTAGGCCGATAGCCCTCGTGTGCTTTGCCGTATTCTCAATACACCACCACCTGAAACCCTCAAATTAAATACCTCGTTCAATTTTTGTCGTATATAGGTCACTTTTTGTATTTCATTTTTGTCACAAGTACGAGTATAACATTTTCCTAGATGTACGTAAAAGAACTGAAAGAAAGTAAAAAAATTATATTTTTTTAATTTTTTAAAATTAAGTTTAAAAATAAATGACGTGAATGTTTGCGTCATTTTGTAATGGAAGTACTTATATGTCTTCGATCAGCTGTCGCAAATATAAAACCTGGGTGATGAGTTTTATGGACATGGTGCATACATACATTGCTTTCAGCTATATATAAATTAATAGTAAATCAACAGAAGTAAAAGTCGGAACAAAAATTAAATACAAATTTAGTTCTACTAATTATAAAGGAGTACTTATTTCTATCTCCAAGAAAAGGATAGAAAAACCGAGTAAACGCGAGTGTTAACGCGAAGGTTAACAATTAAAAACGGAATTGTTCTCGGAGACGGAATTTTTCCAGGAGAGAGAAATAGGTAGACCTTTATAATTTGTGGAAATAAATTTTTATTTAATTTAAGTTCCAACTTTTACTTCTTTTAATTTACTATTAGTTTATTATAATCTAGAAGATTCAGCGCAGATTCGTCTCTTTTCTTTTAAATTTATTATCGCTTCAATGATGACTGTTCTTAAGAGTATATATATATGTACATGCAGCAAAGCTATTATGTACCTTGAAATGGAGCAAAGTGTTAGGAAGCCTATTACTGTATATCCGTCAATTAATGGCACTTCAGTGTAATAACAATACAGATATAGAATTGCAGTCATTAGAAATTTTGCTTAGTTTACAAAAACAAACAAATAAAAGTACTTATGAACTTCTTTTAATCAGTCACATATGAATTTTTACTGCTATTAACCTAAGAAAATCATTAACGAAAATTCTTTTAAAATTAATTAAATTATGTTTCATTTGTTCAGTAATGAACTTAAGTAAAAATAATTACCGCATTAAAATATAGAAAACTGCTTTTGAGACAGATACTAATGATTTACTTTTAGTATTCTAAATGTAGAGAAAGTTAGATAAATAAAAATTTTAACAGACTGAAAACATCTCAGTTCTCTTTTTTTATATCATAATGATTTCTAAGACTCACTTTAGAACGTACAAATTTTAATATTCAGTTGAAAACAAACCGTCTGCGAACTTAAATACTTTCTTATATTTCTAGTATTCCTTTCTTTATTTTGTTATTAATAAAAAATCAATTTTTGCAAGAAACAGTTTTAACAAAACCTCTATTATAAATATTACTGCAGTTTTTAGGCTTTCTATTTCATCAAGACGTAAAATGTTTACCCAAAAGTTAAATCGAACAAACTTTAATAACTGATCAATTGATTAAAGGAGATTTAAAACCTGGAAACTAGGCTCCTTCAAGTTTTCATCTGTCCTGACACTAAGGCATTCTGAAAACATGCATAATGTGTCTTAATGACACTAAGATCTTATTTTTTTATAGAAAGATTGCTGCTGTTTCAAATGGCAAGACACTTGAAATTTAATGCGTTCGTTGACAAAGGCACACATCCAACGGTAATTTAGTGATCACCAAGAACGTTGGCCATGGTGTACTACAAGAACTAACCAATTGTGTACTCTCTTTTTGGTGGATAATACCCCTAGGAACGGATCCGGGGTCTCCTCCCTCCCTCCCCCTCGTCTAAACCTCACGAGAGGACATACTTTAGACCAGTATTTTGAGTGACCTCAGGCTCCAGAGACATGGTCCCCCCATGCCCCACATCACTTGCTAACATTAAAGCTTTCTCTGGGATTCGAACCTGAGCTCATGGATTCAGCAGTTGAAGCGCTGACCGCCATACCGATTGGGGCGCTTAACGTAAAAATTTGAAAAACATATATCAGATAGCATCATCTCTAGTTTTTTATAAAAAGAGCTTACTACTTGTACAAAGAGGTCGTGCTATTTGTAGAACAGATAAGCGAAAGCTACGTTTTCTTGGAGAATCACGAATAATTTTCCTTTGCAGGTTTGCATTCTTCAAGTGAAGAAGACGAACAGTGAAGGTCTCTAGCTACTTGGCATTTTTGGCGGTTTACTAGATAAATCAGCTCAGACGTTTAGGTTGTGATTCGTATGAATTTTGAGCAAAACGATTTGAAAGGACGGGCATTTTTAGAAACGAAAAGAGAGTTTCTATGTTTGGTATTCTGTAGATACTAATATTCTTCTCTTACTTACTGCATAAATAAGGATATGTTTAACCAGCATATAACTTAAAACTGAAATTCCATTTCAAAGCTGACGTTAACTTGTAGGATTTACTCTAGTTCAATTAACTTATTATTCAAATTTTTATCTTTCCTGAAAAAAAAAAAGCAAAAATATCTCAATTCATGCTCACAGTGCCTAAGTGATGTCCCAAAAATAAAGAGAATTTTTCATTAGACTTACGATTCAGTTTAAGTTAAGAAACCACAGTAATTAACTTTCGATTCACTGAGATTTGCATGGAAGCGAAGAAGAGTAGGAAAGGACAAAATTTTAATTTAATTCTGGAAAATTAACATGATTGTCACATGCTTGAAATTTAGTTCCCCTGAGTATTCTGCTGACGCATGGGTAATTGGGAAAAAATATTTTCTTTTAATAGTCATTGTGAAGTGTTTCAGCTTAAATAATTTATTTAAGAAAAGTAATGATTATCAGAGCCGGCAAACTAAAGTGTAGTGTTTACCACTGTCAGTATATTTTGCCAAAAGAAATGCATTCGAATTGAAATTTTACGCTTCCGATTTATTTAAAATGTTGAAGCAAATCATTATTTAGAAATAATTCTTTAAATTCTGGATACATTTTAAAATAAATATTTTTAGTCTTTAAATTAAAAATACCTAAATTATTATTTTTATTTTTGACAGATTCCAAGTGTCTCAGACCACAAGCGGCGACTCAAAGATGAAATCTATATTACGTGTAACCTCCGTTGGAAGGGTTGATTCAGCACTTTATACATGCCTCGCTTCCAACGAGTATGGTCAAGATGATACAAATATTCAGCTCATCGTACAAGGTATTTTTTATCCAGTATTTATGAATTCTTATGCCCTTGTAGTGAACCTATCCGAAGTCTAAATCAGAACCCATTCACAATGAATCTTAAATTCATCGCAGACAACAAGTAATGAGTAAATTTAATTTAAACACTTGAATTAAATTTGTTCTCTTAAATTAAACATTAAAAACAAAATCCAATTAAATTTTTAATTCTTAGTAGCCTAAAAAATATCTAAATCAGGGAGGGGGATAAAATCTTTGAGCATTCCGTTCAAACCGAAATACAAATAGAAATTTTGTTTTACTAACTTAAAAGGAAAGCAAGCAATGGAGTGATTTCCTCTCTTTAATGTAAGCACGATGTATTAACTCATATATAAAATATAAAGAACACATAAGTCAAAATGCATGTATAGGATGAAGGCATCAAGCAATGTATAAAATGAATAATGCGTAATGAGAGTACAAGTGTCTCATTTAGGAAGCATTCACTTCCAAAAGAGAGTTAGTTCATTGTCAAAGAGCTGGGGCAAAACTAATGTAGCATGCATATAAAGTAGTCTTTACTGGAAGTGTAAAACACATCTGCAAATGCAAAATGACATTTTCAAGGAAGTGAATTTCCAAGTTTCATATCGTTCTCAAAACAATAATATGTAATTCATATCCTTGAGAGCAATCTTCGCGCATTCCGTAATAATCAAGCTTGTCGAGTTATATGAATATCTTTAAATATCTATATGTTAATAAACTCATCTGAACAGACAAATTATTATCGCAAAATAGGTACTGCATACTAGAAGCGATAGAAAGGATTTCTTGGGGTTTAAGTATGCAATAAATCAGCACATTTCTTAAGGTTACATTTACTAAATTTGACTTGCGAATAAAAATAAAACTATTTAAGCTGATTTTTCGATTAGAACACATTGTTACTATAAATTCTCGTCTGTTGCCAATGTTTAAATATAAATGCTATGCATTTATATAGATATACTAATTGCAAACGCTTATATACATAAACAATTACAAAACAATTTTAAAAACATAATATAACCATGCCTAGTATTTCCGCGCATTAAGCTATTGAAAAATTATGAGTAAAGACATAAAGTAAGCAATTTAGACCTAGTTTTTCACAAAGACCAAATATTGAAATTTATTAGTAATAACTTAAAATCCTATAAATGTAAAAGGAATTTAAGAAATGTTGAAACTAAACTACTTCAAACAAGCAAAACCCTAATTCAAAAAATCAATGAAATACAAAGCAAAAATAATATAAAAGAAGACGAATTCAATCAATTTCAATGGCAATTCGTCAGGAGGAGAGACATTAAAATCAATTGAAATCTCTCTTCCAGAAAAAATCCTTGCTTTTCTGTATCCAGAATTAGCCGATGAATCAGTCCAATGTATTTTAATTATAATAGTTAAATTCAAAATTCTGACCCCCTTCCCAAAGCAATGAAAAAACAAAGTAAATTCTAATAAAACGTTTACCTTTAAACAATGAGAACTCTATCCAGAGAATTGAAAACGTAAGTTAAATAATAAAACTTTAGTGAAAAGACTTAATCCAAACGGAACTGAAATATAAACTCACAAGAAATAATTAAAAACTTTAAGTACTTTCAATTAGAACACAACCGAAACTATGAAAAAGATCTTACTAGTAGTGACACTTAGGTCTGCCAGTTTGGATGTATATATATATATGTAGGATGTAGAACACATACTAAACATTATTTTTAAGATGCATACACTATGCATACTTTACAGTATAGAATATATCACTAATTTTATACATACACAAAAATAACATTATGCATTCCATTTACTGCATGTGTAAATAATAATGTAATACAATATTCTAGAGCATAATGAGTAAAAGTAGGTATTAGCCTTTTTAATCTATTCCCTGCTTCTTAACACTTGATAAAATTTCATATTTTATTTCCAAAAACTGGAAAATTGAAACTTTTTTATTTAAAAAAAAAGGTGAACATAAGCAACATAAAGGCTTGCTTGTAGCTTCGAATTTATTATATTTAAAGAATATGTGATTTATTTTATTTTGCTTTTGGTCCTATAGATGACATGTTCTGTAAGTGCACATCAGTTTGAATCGTTAAAAATGTTATTGTCATATGTTTATTAACATCGTATTTGTTTGATTCTAAAATGTACTCTTTTTTTAGTAACATAGTAAAAAGGCTGCGCCTTAGATTCGAATAAATAATAAAATATTATCATATCATGTCTTATTAAATGTACTTAAAGGAGTATTCCTATTTATATTCTTAAGTTTACATGGTATACACCTTTTATTTTCCTTAATTATTTATTTATTTTGAACTCTAGCCCTTTCGTGCCACGCTTATTTCAAGTACGCTTGAGATATTTTTGCCACTAGAAAAAATCATTAAAAACACCTGAAGTTACCTATCTTAATTTCAAAAACACTTTTTAAAATGAATTACTAAGTAAACTACAGATTATGAACTAAAAAACTTTAAAACAACAGAAAAATTTGAAAAAAACGAGCAAAAAAATATATTTGTGAATTTAAATTTGTGAATTTTTTTTTGTGAGCAAAAGTATTATTATTTTTTTTGCTTATGTATGTGGGCGTGTGTGTTTCAATTATTCTAAAACAAAAATAGAGATATATATGAAGTTTTTTATAGTCCGGATTTTAAAGATGATCTAACAACAATAAAGATGATTTAAAATTATTAAGACTAGATGAATGACGTCTAGTTGTACTAGGAAATCAGAAAACCTAATACAGCAAATTTATGGAAGTTTATTTGCCCTCTGAATTTCAGCAAGAAAGCATGATTCTTTTCGTCGTGTTTTCTTTCCCCAAAAGAAATCTGCATTTTCTGATTCATCTATCTTACACAGAGAAATGTTAGAAAAATCGATCGTAATGTTCCACAAAAAGAGTTCCTTTAGCTCTGCATAAGTATCTCATATTTCAAATAAAGTATCTCAAAATATCCAAATCCTCCAAAATCTCAAATAAAAAGCAGATTTAAAAATATCCATCAATGACAACTGTACTCGTAGCTTAAATTTTGTAACTGTCAAGTGTCATAATTCTAGCAACATTGTAAAGCAGAGTTTAGGATCTTCAGATAAAATCTCTATCCTTCTCCAAAATAAATTTCGTTACTTTGCAATATCGGTACCTGCCACAGATTAAAATTACTTCCGTTGCGCATATTTGAACATATTCCAAGCACATTTTTAACTAATCGTAAAATTTCAAGGGGTATTGATTTTCATTCATTTTCCACTACCTTCCGGAGTCTAACAATCGTGGTCTGCGTGCGCCTAGAAAGAGCTCGTTCAAGAGCCCAAAGACACAATAGTCCATAAGTAAAACACCAAGAGACTTAACATATGACAGGTGACAGAGGACGGGGACACCTGGGGGTCTGACAAAGGTAAGCAGGTATACGTCCCACGCCCTCCACTATCTTGGGCCGGCAGCTCCCAGGAAGTCGGCCTCGAGAATGCGTTTGCTTCCCTGTGAAGTCGCATGAACAAACAGGTGACAGGTGACGGAGGACGGGAACGCCTGGTGTTTAACAGAGGTAAATAGGCATATGTCCCTCGTCCTCCACTATCCAGAGGCAACTGGATAGTAGAGACTATTCAGTTAATACATTTTCTGTTGCAAAATAAATAAATAAATAATGAAAATAAAATGTGTAAACCATGTAAACTTAAGAATATAAATAGGAATACTCCTTTAAGTAGATAGTAGAGACTATTCAGTTGCCTGGATAGTCCAGAGGCAACTCCCTGGAGCCGCACGAGGCCGCACCGGGAGTACATGACTTCATTAGCTGCATGAATATATAAGCATTAACTGTTAGGATGCGTTCGTGATGCTCTTGGGCGCACGTTGCCATAATTCTTAAATACATCAAATACTAATACTAATAATAATAATAATAATAATAATTCTTAAATGCATCATATAATAAATACATTGAACATAATTAAATACATTGAAACATTGGTTACGTGATACATTAAGTTACATGAATACATTAATCATGGACTTGAGAGCGTGATTACAGTAAGATACTTGAATGCATTAAACCTGTTTACATTTATTATTTGCGAACTTGCGTTATTTGAGTACATACGTGCGTTGATATAATAGATACATGATTCTGTTATGAATATAACAGAATCATGTATCTCCTTTATATAGGTGAATATTATTTATATACGCCCTTTGTCGCTATTGTCCCCTTCTGTTTGCCATTTTTGTCGAGAAATGTTTAGAATATAGTGCTTAATTTAGAATCTTGGCGCCGGGAACCGCCATTGGGTTGCCCCTATATTAGAAAGCTGCTTTTTTGACTAGAGAATCAGCGAGCTTATACCCCGCATATCCTACATATGTCTTGGCTCAATGGAGCGTGATATTCAAATGTGTGCTATTGCGAAGTAATTATTGTATGGAATTGACTGGTTGTAAAGAATGTGAAGGATTGCGGATCGCTTATAGCGCGGATTGTTGTATATTATTTGTATATTTATGAGATTATTTGTATATTTCGGAAATTCTGTGTTATGGCAAAGCGGACTGCTTGCTCCGAGGCTAAGTCCTCTCCCTGGAAGACGCTGTTATGTTCCGCGACGTGCTCCTTCCAGTGATATGTCTGTACAAATATGTTGAGACGGACTAGGGCACTTCCTACACCTGCAACAGATTTTGAGCCATCTGTGAAGATAAGAGACTTAACAGGAATACGTTTGAAAGGTATATTTAGAATACCTCTATTAGTCTCCATTTTTTAAGGAATGTAATGGTACTTTTGGAATATGACTTACTGTTTTGCATTGACGAAGTTTCGCTCTGGAAGACACTGGGATGAAGAAATGGAAATTCTTTTGTAAATAGCGGATGTAAAAGTTTCTCTCGATAGTAAAGTTTGTTTGAACATCTGTTTCCACCCCTCTCATTTTTAATTTCATAGTCCCTCAGTA